GGATGAGGAAGGCTTCAGCTGAAGAACTTGGGAGGTGGCTATCTTGCAGAAGATGCTTGAAGAGGTTCCCGAGAAGTTGATCAGTCGCATTGAACAGGTTCTGGAGCTTGTCTGTCAGATCTTGAACCCGGAAACCCTGCCAAGTCAAACGGACGATATCATCGCTGTGGCACTGAGTCTCTTGAATTTAGTCATTACTTCGCCAACATTCAAGAGATCGAATCTGAAACCACGTGGCCTCGAAGTCTTAGAAACAAGCCTGGAGAAGCTGGGCAGCGGCAATCATCCAACAGTATCACCAACAGCAAGAAGCTTGGGCTTGTTGCTCCAGTATCGTGATGCAGCGGGTGGCGAAGATGAGAAGGATGGGTTTGTACCCAATGCAAAGCAGTTTGAGGACAGAGCCACATACAAGCTCGCCATATCATACATCACACAAGCAGATAACCCTCCCCCCGTTCGCTCGGAAGGTCTCAACCTCATATCAGGCCTAATCCTGGCAAACAGCACCGCTCTGGACGTTCAGGCTGTTCTCGTCCTTCTCTCCTCTCTCATGCAAGATGCCGAGGACTATATCAACCTGCGTGTCATTAAGGTCTTCACGCAGATGGCCAACAAGCACCCAAGGCAACGTCGCGCGAAATACTTGATCACTACTTGGATTCGAAAGAACGCTCAACAACAGATACGAGGTTGCGCTTCGGAGAGGCGCTCCTGCAAGTCATCGAGCGCTTGGGGGAAACATTTGCAGGAGATGTTGCCCGCCATGTCACCGAGACGCTTTTGTCGATTGCCGGCCGACGAGGCTACCGACCTCAGACGGAAGCAAGACAGGCACGTGAGGCACGTCGGCGCGAGATCAAGAAGAAACAGGCAGAAGATGCCTGGGATGGCGATGTCCCTGATTTGGGAGATGAACTCACGAAAGAGGAGCAAGCTACATCTGATATCCTCACTCAGATTGTTGAGGGCTGGGAAAGCAAGCGAGGGAGCGAAGATGTTCGCATGCGTTCTTCTGCCCTGTCTATCCTTGCGGGTGCAATGGAAACCAACGTTTCTGGTGTTGGACCAGATCTCGTGTCAGCCTCCGTAGACCTATGCGTTAACGTTCTTACGCTGGAGCCAGAGCTGGAAAAGGGGATACTGCGGAGAGCGGCTGTGCTCCTCATATTGAGCTTTGTCAAGGCTCTCGACGTAGCAAGGCAAACCGGGCGGAGGATAGGCTTCGGATTGACGGACAACAGCAGGAATGATATCTTGCGCGTCCTTAAGTACATTGCCATCTCCGACAACGATGGCCTGGTACAGCAGCATGCCAGAGATGTCATTGAGAGTCTGGAGAGCTGGCAGATGGCTACACTTTTGCCCGCGAGAAGAGATATGCCAGCCGGTCCAAGCATTGTTGGTCTTGCGGACCTGAACTTGCGCCAGCAATTTGGCTCCCCGAGCGTCGGGCAACAACGGCCTAGGATAGAAGAGGTTGAATGAAGCATGCGTCGTGTCTGGTCAATGTCCTCCCAACCCATCCCCACTTTCATGAGTGTCCCGCTGGTACCACATGGATGCCGTAGATCACGTGGTAGCGCGACGCGCCTGCGTGTACCACGTAACGCGCAGCGGGAGGGGGTTGCTGCTTCATTTTCCCTCCCCCCACTATGGTTTGGTTCCCATTTGTGTACCATCGATCTTTACAGCGGGGGGCAGGAGCCATGCCTTCCGCGTTACCCGCCATGCCCACTCCAAAATATCCTCCGCCGACTCCGAACGAGGAAAGAAGTTTTTCCCCCCCGGGGCAGGAGCCAGAAAAAACCCCCAGAACCCCGGTCTTTGCACCATTTCTCCCGGCTGCCCCCACGAAGGGGAAAGGGCACGAACTCCGACCGATCCCCCGTTTCTTTCCAGGCCTTCTACCGGAAAACAGCAGCAAGCGGGGG